CAGGGGGGTTAGTGAGGGACAACCAAACGACTGAACAGCAGGCTGCGTGGGGCAACCAGGCCAGTGGGGGAGGGGCAGTTTGGAGCAATGAGGCCAGCAGCAGGGGGGCAGTTAGGGGCAACCAGGCCAGCAGGGGGGGCAGTTAGGGGCGATCAGGCCGGAATGCAGAGGCAGTGAGGGGCGATAAGGCCGGTGGGGGGCGGGGGGCAGTTAGGGGTGACCAGGCAGGCAGGCAGGTGAGCGATTAGGAGCCAGCAGTCCAGGATTGTAAAAGGGATGTCCGACTGCCGATTTAGGCCCAATCCCTGGGATAGGGCCTAAACCAGCAGTCAGACATCCCCCAAAGGGTCCCATATTGGAGAGGGTACAGGCTGGGCTGAGGGGACCCACCCCCCGTGCACGAATTCATGCACCAGGCCTCTAGTGTATATACACACACACACACACACACACACACACTGAGTGGTCAGATTATTATGACCACCTGATGTTTGTAGGCAAATTAGCTATAATTTCACACTGAAGTTCTTAGAGGGCCAGACCATTATAAATAGGGAGGCAAGTTGTTTGCCATGACAGAAATAATTTTTTTCTGAAGATATGGGTAAACAACGCGATTTAACAGCCTTTGAATGTGGGATATATACATAAACTGAGTGGCCAGATTATTATGACCACCCCATCAGTGCTTCACTGGGCCACCCTTTGCCTTCAATACTGCAGTGATTCTGCTTGGCATTGACTTGACGACACGTTGAAAGGTGATGTGAGGAATCTGACATCATGCCTGATGAATAGCACTGTCCAGTTCTGTGAGATTTGATGGTTATGGAACCAGTTGCCTGATGGCTCTTTTAACTTCGTCCCACAAATGCTCAATTGGATTGAGATCTGGTGATTGTGGGGGCCACCTAAGCAAGGTACAGTCTCCACTCCTGCACAATATGAGCACCGTGGCATGGCACATTGTCTTGTTGGAAGAAGCCATCTCCATTGGGATACGCCATCAACATGATAGGATGAACTTGATCAGCAACGATACTTAAGTATGTTGTGCTATTCAGACGTTGTTCCACACGAATTAAAGGGCCCAAATCATGCCAGGAAAACATGATCCAAACCATAACACTGCCCCACCAGCTTGAAGGGTTATACTCATGCATGTGGGGTGCATGCTTTCATGCTGTTTCTGCCAAATTCCCACTCTACCATCTGCATGATACAACTGGAAACATGATTCATTGGACCACATGACTTTTTTCCAATGCTCAACTGTCCAATCCTTGTGTTCCTATGCAAATTGGAGATGTTTTATCTTGGTAACTGCAGACAGCAAAGGTGTTCAAACAGGCCTTCGGCTTCCATATCCCATACAATGCAGTGTACGGCTAATTTGCCTACAAACGTCAGGTGGTCATAATAATCTGGCCACTCATATTTACTAGAGGCCCAGTGCCTGAAATTCGTGCACAGGTAGGGTCTGGCCGGCCCCGCCCCTGATGGGGGGCCTCTCGGAGGTGGGGGCGGCTGGAGGGAGGGGCCGTGGGTGATTGGCCACAATCCCCATCCCCTGGTTGAACTTCCAGTCAAACTCCTGGTCGAGGGGACAATTTGCATATTAGCCTTTTAATATATAGGATGTGTCTGGATTTTCTTCCTCATATAGTTCAACCAAAACAACAATGCAACACAGTAAATGCAGAAGCAGACACAAAAATCCAATTTTCTTCTGCTAAACCAAAAATTAAACTGATTTGCAAAAATGTAAAACAATGCGCCACTTTTTTCATTAAATTTTTTGTATTGGAAAATATAGGGTTTTTTTCCATAAAAATATGCTGTTTATGCTGTCATACAATGGGCCCACGGTCTTTTTAATGAATTAATAAGTAAGTCTTTTTAAAATTTATGTTTTAATTTTTAAGATGGTTTAAGTACAGACAGATATAATCTGGGGGATAAAAAGCTCTTTGGACCCCTCGATGATTTCTAAGAATGTAAAGGGAAACCATAAAGTTTGAGATCCGCTGTACGAGATGAACAGCCTAAGATTATGCAAGGAGGTACAGACAAGATAGGGAAGGGAAAAGGCTCCAGAGCAGGCAGAATGGGATGCAGTCAGGCAAGCCTACGTTCAATCCCAGTTTTATCACCTAATCTGTTTGCGACTCCAAGCAATTAATTTCTCCACGTTCCTCTTCTACAAAATGAGACCCACAACACCCACCTCAGGAAAATCCCTGTAAGGATCACACTACTGAACCTGTACAGTACATCAGGTTATATTACACTGCTGGGAACAATGCTGTTGTCATCAACATGTCTACACAGTTAACACAGTCTCAAGAAATGCTTCCACAAACTCAGGTCAGCAGTAAAATGTAGTAAACCCATCATGCTATCACAAATGGTTAAATAACTTTAGATTTTCTTTTTTCTTTTCTGTGAGGTAGAAAGTTTAAGTCTCGATAATACAAAGAGATCTTGGGATTCTTCTGCATAGAAGGTAGCCAGTGAGCTTTTTGCTAAAATATTCGCTGCTAGGATTAGTGAAGAGACATGGTATGCCTGTGCATTGGGGAAATGAATGCAACATGATTATAGTAATCAGTCATTAGCGAATGTTGTAGTTCTAGTTATTAATAATTATGTATAACAGGATATTGTAAAAATTAAGTTATATTGGCTGGGCCACAAATATATCCGTTGTGGGCCACATGCAGCCTGCAGGCCGGGAGTTTGACATGCTTGTCTTACACCATACACAAAAATAAACTCAAAATAGATTAAAGACTTAAATGTAAGCCCTAAAATCACAAAACTCCTAGAATAAAACATAGGTAATAAACTACTTGAAATCGGGGAAACAAAAGCAAGAATAGACAAATGGGATTTCATCAAACTAAAAAGCTTTCTGCAGAGCAAAGAAAATGATCAACATAACAAAAAGACAACCTAGTGAATGGGAGAATATATTTTCAAATACTACAGGGTGTCCCAAAAAATGTATATATACTTTAATAGCTGATAGACCAATTTTTTCAATGAGATGTATTTAATTATTCAAAGTGTGTGTATACATTTTTTGGGACATCTTATATATCCAATAAGGGGTTGATATCCAAAATATATAAGAAACTCATACAATTCAATAAAAAAATACACAATTTGATCAAAAAGTAGGCAGGAGACATGAAGAAACATTTCTACAAAGAAGACATACACAGGGTCAACAGATATATGAAAAGATGCTCAACATCACTAATCATCATAAAATGCAAATCAAAACCACAGTGAGATACCACGTCACACTTGTCAAAATGGTTATTACATTGCCCTAGACCAGTGGTCGGCAAACTCATTAGTCAACAGAGCCAAATATCAACAGTACAACAACTGAAATTTCTTTTGAGAGCCAAATTTTTTAAACTTAAACTATATAGGTAGGTACATTGTTATTAACTTAATTAGGGTGCTCGGAAGGCTTAGGAAGAGCCACACTCAAGGGGCCAGAGAGCCACATGTGGCTTGCGAGCCGCAGTTTGCCGACCATGGGACTAGGTGGTCCTTGTGTCCTCGCGAGCGATGTCATCACAAGATGGCCGCCATAAGATGGCCGTCACCAGATGGCCATGTGCACAGCAGAAGCGGGGCCAGGCAGCAGCTCTGTGTGGTGAGGCCTAGGGGTCCCGTGGCTCCACATGGCGTGAAGGAGGCCGGTCCCAGCGTCTCCACCACCTCGCGTGGAGAAGGCAGGTCACAGCAGGGGCGGGCAGTTGTGGGCAATCGGGCCAGCAGGGGAGGGCAGTTGGGAGCGATCAGGCTGGCAGGCAGAAGCGGTTAGGGGCAAGCAGGCAGGAGAGCAGTTAGGAGCCAGCGGTCCTGGATTGTGAGAGGGATCCCAGATTGGAGAGGGTGCAGGCCAGGCTAAGGGACACCCCTCCCATGCACAAATTTTGTGCACCAGGCCTCTAGTTTTAAATAATTTAAACAGGAGAATAAAGCTCCAAAAAAGAGAGACTAATCCATCAGAGTCAAGACTAAACATGAGAAAATACTTGCCTCATTTATGCATTCCCCTAACCTCCTCAAGGCAGGCAATGTCCTAACTTTCATGATGAGGACACTAACACTCTGAGGGGCTAAGCCACCTACCCAAGTCTTAGAGTCACGTGGCAGAGTAGTTCTGGAAGCAAACCTCTTTTTGGGAATAACCAAATTTGTCTAAAATTACATTCCAAGAAAATTTCAGATGAATTATGCTTATAATAAGGATGCACGCTGGAGGGAAAATGTACAGAAAGAATCACTTATGAGGTTTTGCAGCATGTATAGGGAGAGGCAAAAGTAGGTTTACAGTTGTTCAGATAGAAAATAATGAAGAATAAACTCTGGCCCTGACCAATGTGTCTAAGTGGTTAGGGTATCAGCCCATGCCCTGAAGGGTCTTGGGTTTGATTCCCAGTCAAGGGCACCCACCTGGACTGCAGGTTCAAACTCCTGATGAGGGCACACGTGAGAGGCAACCAATCAATATACACCGATGTTGAAAAAAAAAGAAGAAACTGTTTTGCATACTTACAACTGTAAACCTACTTTTGTTCCACCCTCGTATTTCTAACTATTAAAGCACAGTTAAGTTACTTATATTTATTTTATTATTTAGGGACTATGTGAGAATAACAAATGAGCATGTTACAGCTCAAATAATGAGCTATACTGATATAGCAGATAGTATCCTTAGTTATTCATTTATATGATTAATTCATTTAATGTCCAAAACAACCCTAAGAAGTAGGTGATCAATATCATCTACCTCATTACAACAGGGGAACTGAGGAACAAAAAAGTAATTGCCCCAAGGGGACATAGTAAGAGGCATACAGGCCTCACACCTAAGCAATGGGGCCCTGAGCCCCAATTCTAAAAGCAAATAAATAGTATTAATATCAGCAATTGCTCATTACAACTGAGTTTTTCTGTTAAATGAAAATTCTTACCTCTGGTTTGCTAAGGCTGGATGAAACCAAGGAGCCAGATCCCACGTCCAAATCCCACTGCTTTTTACCATGATTCTCTGGATCCAAGGCAGCAATTCGCCCATCTAAAGTGCTGATAATCACTAATGATCTGTAAGTTTAAAAATTAATGGGAAAAATTTTAAAAGATATCTAAGATATTGAGCCCCTACTCCACACACTTGAAAGAAAACCAGCCCCTCCCAGGCTTCTACTTGCAGGAGAGAAGCAAGGCCCACCTCCTCATATCACTTACTGTTCTGCCACTACTATCTGCCTTTAGCCTCCAAGATAATTGCACTGTGTCCTTTATCTGTTTACATCACTTATGAAAAGTCTCAAACTACTAGGGAACCCCTCATTCCCACACTGTAATCCCCATATGAAACTCAACATTCTCTGCTCTGTTCTCTTCTATCTTCCCCAATCCTGAAGTCTTCCCTGAATGCTCACTTTCCTTCTTGCTCTAATGAAATCTGGCTTTCCTTGAGAACACTGCTTTGGAAGCAATTAACTGTTTTCTCCACACCCTTGACCGCTGCGTCTAGTGGTAGGGTAGGTGTATTCCTTGCACCTTGTCACCGTCCCCAGACTACTTTCTTTCTCTCCTCTCTAAAAATCCTCAGGATCAGACTATTCCAACTATTATCCCTCTAGCAATTGTTTACTGACCCTCAGGTCACTAGCCCCATTCCATGAGGATTTTAGGTCCTGGTTTACTGTCACTATTAACAAATTCTTTCAGTTTCGTGAACTGTCTACTTTGCCTCAGTCACTCCCAAGTTCAGACCCTTGTCCTTATCATTGCCAAACACAACTTCCTGTCCCAATGAAATTTCAAGCATCACATCCCGAGCCAACAACCCCTTTCCAACTCACCTCCTACTTTCCTGACTCCTACAAACCACTGACTGCACCAAACCTACAAACCATATTGATCCTATTACCTACCTTCACTACCATTATGCTTTCACTTCTTTCTTACCCAGTTGAAATTCCACAGTCCTTCATTTTAAGCACTTCCTTTCTTACACCTTCAACCGCTATTCCTCTCCTGCATGTCACACTTGACTGGCAGAACTCCAACCCTCATTAAATTTAACTTTTTGCCTTTTTTCATTCTTGCATCTGTGCAGTTGGATGTGGCTAAAGAAACACATAACCATGCTGACTGGTCTCACTTTAATTATGATCACCAAACCTCAAAGGGGCTATTACTGATGCTCAACAATCATATGACATTTCCCTGGTCTATCCACTTGCCCACTGTCCTAGGTTGACTATTAAATTTCTCATTTTTCCTCAAATTTCTGACACCTGCTCTTGCAAGCTCATGCATTTCAGGGACTATGCTACCTATTTTTCAGAGAAAAACAGAAATAATCCAATAAGACTGTTTCACACCATCACATCTATCCATTTATCTGCACCTGGACCCAAGTATTCTCCTCCGGTTACTGTGGGAAACAGTCCACACTCCCACACCCCACCACCATTTCCACCTAGGCAAGAGATCTCTCCCTCATGCATACATGAGGACTCACACCTGCAAATCTCTCCTCTTGCCCCCAGATCAATTATTCTCCTCTACCAGACCTTTCCTCTCAGTAGTCCAATCTGCTACGATTTCTTCCAACATAAAAACCAACCCAGATTACACACAACCACTCTCCCCCTCTAGCTTCCAATTCATTCCTTGCCCATTTTGGAGCAAATTTTTTGAAAGAGTTGTTATATACTCTGTCTCCAAATCCAACTATTTCTAATCAAGTTTTTGTCTCTACCACTCCACTGAAAAGGTTTTTGCCGGAGTCACCTATCACCTTCACATTGAAAACCCCGTGGTCAGGTCTCAGTTCACTTGACCTCTGATCAGCTACTTCTCCTGCCCACCATCAAACACACTCTTAGCTCGGTTTCCAGAACACCATATTCTCCTGATTATGACTTGCTTACTGTGTTACTCACTTTATTGCAGTGGTCTAGAACTAAACCCGTAAAATCTCCCAGGTCTGCCTGTATGGGTAGCTCACCTAGCTTAGAGGAAGGCAAATACCCCTGATCATAAAAGTCAGGCGGAGTGCCTGTACAAACCAGTAAAGGTTCCAGACCCACAGGATCTTAACAAGTACCCCAGGTGAGTCTCATATTAAGGCCCGTTTGGCAAACATGATTTAGCTGAAAGGACTATTTTCTTAGAGTGAAATTAATATTATTATTACCTGAATGAAGAAGGCATATTGATCAACTCTGTCAGTAAACTCTCTCTCTCACCTAACCTTGCTTTAGTTTCCTAAGGCAGTGTTTGGATGACTGAACAATAAGCACTGTTAGGTCCTCTCCAGAAAGGTCATCAGCGACCTCCTCTCCCAATGGCCAGATCCATTCTCCCAGTAAGATGTGTCCCTGTGGCAGCAGGTGACAATGTGCGGCTCCTCATTCTGGGCATTCCTCTTTCCCTGGATTCCACAGCACCAGCCCCTGCACCCATCCTCACTCGCATTCCTGCTCTCAATCATGAACAAGCAGGCATGGAATTATAGGTTTCTCCAACGCCCACAGCTTCACCTATTACATGACAGCTCCCACACAGAATTTACAGCTCCTCTCTCTCCCAACCCTGCTTTGGCATTTACATCAACTCTACCTGCTCCCTCACACTCTACATTTAAACAACAATCATGTACTCTTGATTCTATTACTTTAGCTTCTTCTAAATCTTTCCCTTCTTATTCATTACCACTGCCCTTGCCCTGGAACAGAGTCTCATTAATCATTAGAATACCTTTAAAAGCCTTTCTGACATATTCTCGTTCCCTTCTGCTCTTCCAACAGTTTTGTTTCCACAAAAGAAACCATGTAAACTTCTGATGCTCCATCTGCCCTTTAAATAAAGTCCACATGCCTAGGTATGGCCCACAGCTCTGCCTGCCCCCTCCCCACACCCTACCCCAACACACACACGTTTCTAACCTTTTCAACAAAGTTCCTTTGTTAATTTATTTTGTCTCAAGTCTTAAATGATTTCATTTGCCCAATAAACACCACTTCTATTGAATTCCCACATCTTTACGGGAAATATATAAGTACCAAACAAAATATTCAAGATTTCTGGAAAGAAGTAGCTAAAATTACTATATTAAGTTTGATATAATTCAGCTCAAAGCAAAGAAACATTGACTTTAAATTTTTTTCCTGGTGATATATATTTTTTAAATTTTATTTTTAGCCCTAGCTGGTTTGGCTCAGTGGATAGAGCGTCAGCCTGCAGACCAAAGGGTCCCAGGTGCAGTTCTGGTCAAGGGCACATATCTTGGTTGCAGGCTCCTCCCTGCCCTGGGCCCTGCTGGTTAGGGTTCATGCAGGAGGCAACCACTCTGTTTCTCTCAGATATATGTTTCTCTCTGTCTTTCCCTCTCCCACTCTCTCTAAAAAACAAAACAAAAATTAATGGAAAAATCCTCGGGTAAGGATTAAAAAAACAAAAAAAAATTAAAAATTTTATTTTTAATTACAGTTCACATTCAATATAATTTTGTATTAGTTTCAGCTGTTCAGCGTAGTGGACAGTCATATACTTCACAAAGTGCTCCCCCGATATTTTCAGTACCTACCATACATACTTATTACAATACTAGTGTCCCAGTGCACGGATTTGTGCACACTGAAAGGAAATTAACTAGAAGAAATATTATAATGTCATTATTCATCCTTTCTCTTTAATAGAAGGGACAACCAAATTTATGATCGACAATGACAGATCGAAACACACTCATGTGACTGGCGCCAGTGAGAGCTTTATATGTATTGAGCATGTGCGAGTCAACTTAGCCTTTTATATTTATAGAATAAACTTGCTTAATTAGACCTGCTTTCTGATTTAGCTAAACTTTTTCCAGCCCAGTGAAGCACCCCAAATTCTCTTTCAGGTAATTGTCAGCAACACAGCAGTAAATATCAACACAAAGCAGATTATTATTGTAGATCATGCAGGGAGAATAAAGGGTAAAATATTTAACTGCAGCAGTGTTTGACTATATTCTGCACAGTGAGAAAACCTGAAGTCATTTTCAAGGTCCACCATTTCTTACTTCTTCTCAGTCAGGTCAAGTTTCTAAGCTTTCTAAATCTCCGTTTTCTTACTAAAGAAAAGAAAATAGGATTCCATCGAGTCTCTTATCTACATACTCCAGGACTTCTATGAGGATCAAATGAGATGAGGAAAGTGAAAACGCTTCACAGACATTTGGTTAAAGTGTGAAATGTTTGCACCTGGCTATAAAGCAAGTCGGGTTCCTGGGCTGAAGAAACTCTAAGGAGGCTAATTGCTAAGGAGAGAAAACCAGGCATTGCTACATGACGTCATTACCTGGCACCCACAGGGACCATTTTCCGGCTGTACTGTGGGCCCCATTTTGCACCATGGGTTCTTGGCAGCATTGGCTGTGATTTGATGGGGTGTTGCTCCGGGGTGGTGGCAGGGCCTGTGTTCCACTTGGGGAAAGCCGAATGTTGGTTTGTTAGCACCAGGTCTGTGGTGCTGTTTATTTTTAAATGACCAGTGTGCATCATGGCAGCTCCTGCATTAAGCATCTGCCCCCTGGTGGTCAGTGCATGTCATAGCTACTGGTCAGATGGATGGACACCTAGTCTTTTATATGTACTCTAGAGGCCCGGTGCACAAAAATTTGTGCACTCGGGGGGGAAGGGGGGGGTCCCTCAGCCTGGCCTGTGCCCTCTCACAGTCTGGGACCCCTCGGGAGATAACGCCCTGCTGGCTTAGGCCTGCTCCCGGGTGACAGAGGGCAGGCCCAATCCTTACGTGCAGCCCGTGGTCGGGCTCAGAGCAGGGCCTATTAGGGAGTTGGGGTGCCGCGCCCTGTCATTCACAGAGCAGGGTGGATTGGGAGGTTGCAATGCCACCCTCAGTCACGCTCAGGGTAGGGCCGATTGGGGGGTTGGGGCACTGATCCCTGTCACACTCAAGGCAGGGTCTATGGGAAGGTTGCAGCGCCACCCCCTGTCACGCACAGAGCAGGGTCGATCAGGGGGTGGGGGAGCTCCCCCCATCACGCACAAAGCAGGGCCCATCAGGGGGTTGAGGAGCTCCCC